TTGTATATCTATGTACTGTAAAGCGCTTTAGAGTGGCTTATGCTACCTAGATAGGGCCCTATATCAAATGCCCTATATTTTTATTTATTTTTTTTATTTTGTAACTGTTAATTGTCATGAATATCAAGCAAACAAATAAAATCAATAATGTATACCTGTTCATTTGTTGGAAATAGAGCACCGTACATTGGCTCTTCTTTTGGGAAAATTTCAGATTTCAGTTCTCCCCCTTTGAATCACCAACCAAAAATTAAAGATTGCAAAATTTTAAAGAAAAAAAAAATAAAAAAAAATTGCCTGGTCCCAAAAAACAGTGGACAACAATAAAACAAAAGGTCAACAAAGAAATCAAAATGAATTATAACATTTTGATTCTTCAAAAAAACAAAACATATCATACATTTTAAATATATATAAACTTTTTCATGATGCAACAATAAAAACAAAGTAAATTATAGCTAAAAATAAGGTAAATTAACACAAGATTCCGATAGCATATGTATAACACAGATATCACGAAAATGTCCACAACAAAAATTGTTGTAGATATTATCAAATAATATGTATATCATATAAATAGATATCTACAAAATGAATAGATTTGTAGCAACATAATAATAAAATTCTGCACTAAAGCTATTATGCTCATACAGATGTATAACATTTTGATGAACGCTCCACACGATTACTTCAAATAGGGATATTTAATTAAATAATACATGTACGGGAAAAAACACTAAAACATACACTCTAAACACTATATTTTTTCTCAAAGATAATGTAATGTGTGCTTTTCTGATTTTATAAAATCTGTTTAACTACCGGTACTGAAATTAACAAATTTTTGACTACAGCTTGTCAGTTAGTTAATAAAAATCTGAAGATGTCTACATCTCCCTAGCTGACCAGCTCCTGATCAACAAGTTCCAGAAAAGTAAAGTGAAGCTGTGCAAATTAACAAAAAAATGAGCATCAATTCGAAAAAAAAATATACCATATCCGCCGTAATTAGCCCCCTAGGGTCTTAAAAATTTGACTTAAAGGGGGTGTTTATTAGGATATTAAAACTTTTCTTTTACTTCACGCTGAACAGGAATTCGAGACATGATCACCCAATATAAAGTCGACTTTAAAGCGTAAGTACCTATTAATCATTGACTGGGCCTGGTCAGATCAGGAAGGGGTTTATGTAATTCCAATTCCTTCCGAAAAAGGAAGAGGGGAGGAGGGCTAATTACGGTGAATACGAAATTGGTATACCAGATCCTGGTCATTTACTCCCAAATAAAAGCATAGAAAAGTAAAGCTATGAAAAAAATAACAAAAACATAGGAGCATCTCCATTTGTGCAAACAAAATATCACACTGACAAATTTGCACATTAAATGCTTAAAATTGCACAGGTGTAAAATTGAAGTTGATTGTTTTTGAAGCCTTCAGTTAAATATAAGTAATATTAAATTTTGTCATGAATTTTTACACATTTTTTTACACATATGATTTGATAATCAAGCAATATTTCAACAATATATAATTGACCACCTGACCGCCGGGTGGCGCAGTGGATAGCACACTTGCCTTTCACCAAGGCTGCCAGGTTTGATTTCCCGATCGGACGTGAAAAGGTATATGGGGTCAAGGATCACCTGCCCCATCATGAGGGTTTTCTCCGGGTACTCCGGTTTCCTCCCACATTACGACCCATTGTGCGCTAACATCCGGGCCAACAAGACTGAGTGATTTATAGAACTTGAAATAACTTGTTTCATAATTGTTGTAAAAAAAAAAAAGTATAAACAATAAATATCAAGTACAGCATATTTTTATACCATTTCTTTTATCACTATTTTTCTATCACTAACATCTAATTTGAATGGCACGTTATTGTTTTTCAATCATGCGCTAAACAATATTATCGTTTGGACCATTTTTGTTATACTATCTGTTTATTAAAGCAAGGTAGGTAGATCTAAGCCTGGTAGTCATGTTACTACCTATAGGGTGTTAAATGTTTTTTTAAATTCGATTATTACATTTTGAAACTGGTTCCTGGTCTTCTGATCAAGTATAACCGGCTAGTCGGTTGACCGTTGACAACCCTAATTCATACACACATAGTGGTCAGTAACACACAGTAATATCCAATCAGTACTATTTTATACTATGGAGAAAAACCAGGATTAAAAGGCTATACCTGTTGGGGACTGGTGGAACTCCACATATACCATAAGTCTGAAACCAAATATAGCCTTCGCACATACATCGACTTTGACATTCATCTCAAATACCTATATGTCCTAAAAATTGTATGAAATGGCATAAAATATAGAAAGATATGTCAGAAATCTGTAGTAACACTATGGATGTTTTTAACATAATGAAAGTATCTTGTGTCTTTCACAGTTAAAACTTTTCAATGAAATTCTTAAACTTGTACCGGACAGCACAATCACCCTCTCTGTAGAATTATATCTGAACGATCTGTAACAAATCTGGTGGAATTCTAGGAACTTACTAAAAACTATTGGAAATGATTAAACTTTTACACCTGAACAGGTGACAGATCAGGTTAATATCTCAAGGCAAACAAGTTTATTTGTTATTAAAACATAAGACCACTAAGTGAGTGTAACATGTATACAGCCTAATGTACGCGAGGACAGACGGGTTAGTCTGTCCTTACACACATTAGATTACCGTATTTATCCTTCAAAAAGCGCAGGGGGGTCAACATATAATATCTCATTCAAAATAGTAAGTTTGGCTTACTACAGGACAATTAAATAGCATTTGTTGGCTTTTTTTTTACTGAACTGCAATAAACATGTCTGGGCTTATTACCAGACATGGACTTATTGTTGGTTAAATACAGTAATAGAGTTTTTCTCTGCTGTAAGGTTGAGATGTGGGGGGATCTCAACCCAAGGGGGGGAAATTCTTAAGTAGCACGGGGCTTGTTTCCCCAAGGGTTGAGATCCTCATCCCATCCCTATGGGGTTAATGATTTTTTTTCTTTTACCCTGCACTGATGGTGTCACGTAATGCGATGCTGACATTAAGGACTAAATGCATCATTGGCGTGACACTATTGCCTTGTTGACGTGACGTCATACAATGGTTATGACCCTAGAGCGAGACAAGCATATTTCAAGGTTTTAGATAAAGGGGTTCCTTATGGGCAGGTGTCCTTGTAAGAAGGGTATTTGGCAATGTATTCTATTGAATAAGGTATGCTTCACACACACAAAAAAATATTAAAAAAAATATGAAGACACAACTAAATTAAATCTGTTTCTTTGTAAATTATACAATGCTTTCATATTAAAGTGATGTATAACTGTGCTAGCTGAGAGGTGCTAGTGACATTTTAGGACACAATCATTTGTATGCTATATGTACTACTTGTATTTGGCAACTTTCCATTAGAGTATTACTACTACTTATTTTTGTTCTGTTAAACAACATCATACCTTCTAAGACATTGCTTTTCATTGAAAAGACATTTAACCTAATTCTGATAGCTCAGTTGTAAACTTGGGATATGAAATGTGCCCGACATTTATATCCCAAGTCTACCAGTTGGGGAGGTAGTCACACTTTTTTACCTTCAACCACACACAATGCATTGCCTATACCCAGATTACCTTATTCCACTTTTTCCCCTTTGACTAATTTTTCTTTCACATATAAATGGAATAGATATACGACAATGCCATTAAACATGATGACTAGAAACACTGCACCTATACTGTTCCAAAAGGTGGGCAGCGCCATGTTGGCAAACTTGGGGCTGAGCCGTTCCAGTTCATGGGTGATGCCGTCCAGCTGTTTTTCGGTCACCATGATGATACAAAGATGAAATATCTGATGACTGTGGCCGACAAAGTCAAACTTCCCTGGAAAGAAGCGTTGAGGAATGTCAGAGCCGAAGAAGAATCCCGCCACAGCGAACCAGATCATCTGTTGTATGTGGTGATCGAGACTGGAGTGCCACACACCTATGGCCGCATACTGATACAGCCGCAGCAGAATGGGAAGACTTAACCAAGTGTAAATAGCCACCACTGAGGACACCTGCCAAATTTTCCTGGCAATTGGATAAGGCCGCTTGTATATAACTTTGGACACACTGCAACAGAAGCAGACTATCACCCCGAGAATCATCCCCACCAGGACGGCGTTGGTCTGGAGCCACGAGTTCACCCAGGCGTCGTCATGG